TAAATTTCATATATTATTTAGTTTAATTTTCAAAAGTTCAAGCAAAAATATTTGACATACAATATTAATTGCAATAATGAATACTGAACTTCTCAAAATTACAATAAAATTTCAGCTTAAATGAAAAAAAAATTATTGTTAAAATTTTATTACCACATCACATTATTAGTAAAATAAGTGCTGGATTTTTATTTTATTTATAAACTATTTTAAAATAAATTTTTTATTCAAGCTTCGACGATTTGGAGATGAGGCAATATATATATATATATAAATATTATATATTCTTGTTACATTTTGTTTAATATTTTGTTAAATTCTCATAAACATTTGAAATGCAATATTAGTCGAAATAAATATATTTCAACTATAATATTTATATTGAACTTCTTAGACAAACAAAAAAATTTCAGGATAAATGAAAAAAGAAAAGTAAAATATATTATTGTTTAAATCGTTAATACATTTTACATCTTATGCATTATTTTGTTCAATTTTCATAACTTCAAGCAGACATTAATAATATATGCGTTTTCTTATTTTAAAAAAAAATTAAATTAGTTTAGATATATCTTTTTTATTTCCTATTTGAATTATAAGTTGTCTTATAATTAAAAAGACATTCAGAAATTATTCTGAAAATAGATTGGATATTGATGCAAGTTTTATAACTTTATTAGATACAAGTTTTAAATCATGATATAATTAATAATAATATATACTTTACATGCTAGAATAATAAATATAAACTCTAGATTATTTTGTTCGACGTTGAAACATATTCTTGAGATTTTTACAAATCATTGAAAATAAAAAAAAATCGAAAATACTAGAAATTCTTGATTCTGTACGTTTCGACACTTTATGCCTGTCAATATTTAAATGTTCTAAATAATTGAACAATAATTTAAATATTTTTACAAAAAAAATCTAAATTTTTAATAATTCAAATAATATACATATACCATACTAAAAAGAACACTAAACAAATTAACATTGTTTTATACAGCCAAACTTAAAAATAAAAAATTCAAAAATCATTAAATTTTGTAGTTTATCACATCATTGATTAACGTTATAAATTTTAATCTTTGAAAGTTTATACAAAATAATTAGTATTCAGTTACTTATTAAAAGTAAAATTTCAAATTAAAGCAACCGTTGGAATTTTATTAATAACAATACATGCATTTTTTGCTTTCTTATATTTATGACCTTAATAACGTCTTATGACATAATTTTTATAAAATGTGTGTTTAATTATTAAATTATTATTTAAAAATATCGTAAAATTCGTTCAGATAAAAAAAATTAATATGCGGTTTCTTATTAAAAATCGAACAAATCGATTAAGCAAGAGGTAAATTAAAGCAACTCTTAGATTTTTATTAATAGCTTTACATGCTTTTTTCTGCTTTACGGCGTTAGAAACAAGTTTTATTTCTAGATATGCCGGAAATCAAAATTGCTGTATTATTCATTTTCTTTATATTCAGAGAAGTTCCGTTCTTCCGTCTACCTTAAAGTCTAACTGTTTTCCCACATCTGGAATTAGACTAATAATCGGCCAGTCATCGTCGAAATAAAATATGTTGGCTAAATCGGAGGACGTGTTCGCCAGATTTTTATTTAAACATTTCATGTAACGATGACAGCTTAATAATACATTTATGTCGTTACTATCACGCAAGAGGTTTGGGATTGATATAGGACAGCAGAAAAAATTTCATACCTAAAGCAAACTCTTATATATTGCAGCCAATTATAAATAAATGCCAAAAAATATACTGGCAATTTTTATTTGCTTTAAATTTTTTTTAGTACTTTTATTTGACTTTATCAATACGTTTTGACACTTGATATGTGTCATCAATAAGCAGTTCATACTGGGAAAAATAAAACACAAACAATTGTCCTATCTATATGTGATGAATTTTTATTATTAAAATTTTTGTATTAGTGATGGTTTTTTATTGGTGCATCGGATATCAATCCTGGGCTCTCTGACAGGAATCCCATAGCTCTAGCCACAAATTCACGAGCACAAAATTAAAACATTTATTTATATAAACATTGGAACATCGAAACATAACATAACTTATATCATTTCCCAAAAAAAAATTAAAAAAGTAATAATAAAAAAAATAAAAAATAAAAAATAGAAAAAAAAATAAAATAAAAATAAAAAAGAAAAAAAAACCTTAAGTTAACACTAGATTTATGGATGTTGGTTTTATACCTATTTTTACTGAAGTGAGCCTATTTGCCTTATGCAAGAAGATGGAAATTTTTGGAAAAAACTAGTTCTAAGCCAATTTAAATAAAAAAATATTATTAAATAAATTATGAAAAACATTTTACCATTTGCCATACTTAGTGATATTATGATAATTTAGTGTTTATATCTAAATCTAGTGTTAAATTGATTTCTAAGATGTTCCCAAATCATACAGTGATATAATTCTCAAGAGTTTCCCGTGGATTAGTGGTTAGGGCTATGGGAATTCAATAAGAAGTTTCGGGTTCGATACCTGTCTCAGGCTGTCTGATATCAAGCGGTAGTGACATCGTTTTTACTGAGCAATATCTTTTGCAGTGAAAATAAACTTGGCTGCATCAATAAAAAAATATTAGCATCATAGAATTTGTAATAAAAAAATTAATCACATAGAGATAGAGCAACCGTTTGGGATGCCATCTATAAAACTGACGTAGTTCGAAAAGTCCTCGATAAGTCATTTATTACAACAACCTATAGAATCTTTAATAATAAACGAAGATTGTACATTATCAGATAATGAAGCACTGTCACTTCAATTATTACCTGAATCCAGTTGGATTTATAAACCCAAAATACATTATTCGCAAAATCCCACGAATATTGACTTAATAATATAATTATATTTTCACTTTTTGTATGATTTCTCACAATTTTCAATTTCATTTCACCTAAATTTCATTTGTTATAATTTAGCGAACAATTTAAAAATATTATTTCATCTCACATAAGCTAAATTTAGAACGTGGATACCAAAAGCGCCATTAAAACAATATAAATTATAATTACCATTTTATTGTTTTATTATTTTATTATACAACGAGTAACTAAGTGGACCATTTTCATAAATCATCCAATATTTTTTAAACAGCAGAAGCATTTTTATTAAATCATTGGAATTAATGAGAGTGAGTAAAACATGAAGGTTGATTATTGACTTTGTGTATTGTAGAAGATTGAAAATGAATTTCTGAAAATTTGAGAAAAGTTTTAATATATGACTATTTATATAAATCACTACTTTTTGTAAAGCATCAACAACATTTTTTTAAATCATTGAAATTAATAAGAGTGAGTAAAACATGAAGGTTGACTTTGTGTATTAGAGAAAATTGAAAATTAATTACTAAAAATTTGAGAAAAGTTTTAATACGTGACTATTTCCATAAATCGCTACATTTCTAATCAGCAACAACATTTTTATTAAATCATTGAAATTAATGAGAGTGAGTGAAACATGAAGGTTGGCTGTTTGAGTATTGGAGAAGATTGAAATTGAATTTCTAATAACTTGAGAAAAATTTTATGATGTGACTGACGTAACAATGAATTGCTTGTCTGAGTGTGATCTATATAAATGAGTTTTTACTGTTACTTATTCTTATTGTAATCACTTATAACAGTAATTCTTTGTTTTGCATACATCAGAATAGGAATACGAAACTGAAATTCAATTGTTTTGCTTTTTTCTGTAGTTATGAATTGTTTTTAATTTGTTAATTATTCTCTTGTTTTAAAATACGCAGTAATACATTATTTTATATTAATGAATTATATCATAGAGATTAATCATGCTTGCTCTTTACTTATAGAGAACACTCATCTATAGGCTGGTTCATTTAAAATTGAAGCATTTGTTTTTAAAAAATATATACAAAAAAGACATTAATATTCATTTTCATTTCGATTATAATTTATTTTGTTAAAACATGATATGTCTGAGCAATTTTTTTTTAAATGCTACCACTTCAAATAGTGCTTCCATTTGACTTTTTGAAAGTAATGCAGCCTACAGATAATGTTAATATAAGGCACTAATTAAAAGCAATATTGGGAACTTGTTCGAACAAATATACTTCATCTTTCTCCTTTTGGACCCAAAATCAAAATCAGTATAGTTTAGCTGTTATGACGACACTCACTACCGTACCCAGTTTCACCTATTCTAGCTTCAATGCATTTTGTTTTGACATCAAAAGTATACATAGATAAAGGAGTATTTGTATTAATAGGTTAAGTTATGATTCCGTACTAAATGTGTTTAACTTACGATTTCACACTCATTTTAATCTCTATATTTTATTTATTTATTTAAACAAAAATTATCATTTTCTCTCTTCTAAATTTGCAATTGCTCTTAATAGTATTTGTAAACGCCAAAATAGAGTTTGGATGGCTAAAACCTATCCATATTCAAAATGTAGTACATTTCAGAAGTCCAGTAATTTAAAGAAATAACATCTTAACGGTACATTTGCGTCTTGACTTTTACGGTTCAGTCATCCGCGTTGTATTTACAATGTTTAGTATCTGTATTGAAAATAACAATAAGCGTAGAGTGTAGCATGCCATAACTATAATTTGTATATATGTCATTCAAGCTTGCTGACTGTAATTTTGTATCAATAACGGTTTTTGATTGTCACATATAAACCATTTTTTGCATAATTTACTCAAATTATTGTGCCTAATTTGACACTATTCGAGACAGTAGGGCATAACATATTTTTTCACAAGAAAAGTAATTAGGCTTAGCATGTATCTTTCCACATCGTTTATATGTTACAAAAAGTATAACAGATTCCATTGTTCTGTTATGCAACAGTTAATAATTTTTTCAAAAGTTGTATTATTAAATATTAATATAGGTTAAGATTTTTAAATTTATTTATGTATTTTTATTTAATATTTCATATGTAATAATTTCTATGTTGTTTACATAATGCAAAGTATTATAGTAACCCGTGTCAATAGATAAAAGTGGTATACACATACCCACATTATTAATATCTCTTGGAACTATCACTGCAAACTTGCAAATGCGGGTTCATACATCAAACACCGTTTTGTAAAATTAATTATTCCATATTTTTGTTACAGTTGAGAGCGGTCGCAACATCAGGCACCTTCCATGCATATCAAGGAGGTCAGGTCAAGAAGGAATCTGCATGTTTGCTATAGATTGTCTGAAAGCTAATGGAACGCATCTTGGGACATGTATAGACAGATTTTATTTCGGTTCCTGCTGTCAACTCGAGGATAAGCTTCTATCCGGTGAAACGGAAATTCTCGACAACAGTATAGATCATAATGATACGCCTACGCAAAAGACAGACGGCGCCACGTTGCCGCCAAGTTTGTCAAAAGTCACGTTTCCTTCGAAAACGAAACCTTCCTCTCCCGAGGTTTACATGTCACCGAGCGTCAATCAGTTATACACGACGTCGACGCTGAGAACGACATCTAAAATACCGTTATCATCAGTTAAACCCTGGAGTAAGAAACCGATAGTGAATATATCAACATCTGCTCACGCTACAAAAATTCCTGAAGTAACCACTGAAATATCTTATAAGTTGTCGACTTTCCAAACCGTGCAAAGTAGTGATCACAATGATTCTAATTTGAGTTCGACGGAACATCCTAGAACAACGACGAGTCCTATAACTAAAGGTACCGTAGCTGATGCAGTAGTTACAGAAAAGCCAACCAGAAGGCCCATCACTCGACCTACGACAACTCATAGGACGACAGTGACACACGTTCCGCGCCCAACCTCGACATCTACATCTCAAACTCATAGGCCGAGACCGAAACCGAGCAGACCTACCGGCAAACCAACCCCGAGCCGGAGGCCGATTTCCAAACCTACAAGTAACCCAACACAAACTACTGGAAGGCCCACGACTGTCAAGCGACCAAATGGCACTCGCAAACCGACGGTTCGTCCCGTACACGATAGCAAACCTAATGTAACTAGTACTACACACACGCAATCTACAAGCAAGCCCGTTGATACCACGAAACCATATTCCACTTCAAGCCATAGACCTACATCGGGAAGCACACGACCATCTCAAAATCACACTAGACCGACCAGACCTCATAAACCAATAACTACAGTGGTATTATTAGATACCGCACCTAAAGAAAATACCACAAGTGCAAAACCGGCAACGACTGCAGTGCCTACTAAAGGATCAACTACAACGCCGGAACCATTTTTAACGACTTCATATGTAGAAACAACTACAGTAAAAGATATTGATGCTGCCCCAGTCACAGACGCAAGTAATCATTCTAAGAAGCCAGAAATTGTTACAACTACTACGAGTGTTTCATCATCTGGGACATCTACTTCGTCGTTTTTCACAACGGAAAAGACTGAAAGCGACAAAACAACAATAAAGGCTACTACGTTGACGACACGACAACCAATATTAGAAGAAAATGATTCCGCTACTACTACGCAGAAAATTGGTTTGGTCACGTGGACGAATGTGGAGGAAGATTCAGTTACATCGTCTCCTGTAAATGACACTAAAGGTAAATTATAATGAATAATAGATTATGTTTATTGAGGAAATCTAAGCAATTATAAAAACATTTCAAAGTTGTTGGAATTGATAATATACGTTTGAAGTTCTTCTGATCATTTTGGCATACCATAGAAAAATTAGCCAGAAATGAATATTTGATATATGCATATAAATAAACATATTTTTACAATTATAATATTCATTAATATTATTAACTAAATTATGGGTTGCATCTCAATAAATGAAAATTTTAAATCTTTTCATGAAGTTGATGGCTTCTATGATTTTTCCTAACCATAGGTTTAATTATTCGGGTGAAACCTTTGGATTTGTAGTTGAACGATTTAAAAATAATATTGGCTTTTTACCAAACTTAGAGTTCATTATTAATTCAAACAAAATTTTGCTCTCGTAAAAAGTTAAAAATAATATCAAACTTGGACTTTAAATAACAGTCTAGGAAAATTATCATTTATCGTATAATTAAAAGTCTGAGTAAACCTTTGGTTTTGTAGTTGTGTATAATCTAGGGAACCAAACCATCTATAATACACGTAAACTACACTAGTTTAATTCAAAATTTTTATTTATGCTATGTATATATATTACAGGAGAATGGACTCCTATTACTACACCAGATGGTTGGGTCTTATTACCTTCGGTTACTCCAAGTACAACTTTGCCATCGTCTAGTATAAGTTCGACATCACCAGACACAACTACGCTTGGAGTTAGTACTTTAAATTCACAAGGTAACCCGGAACTACTTTATATCATTAACTTTGACAAAAAAACAAAGTCTTCCGCAAATCTTACACGCAATAAATCTTTTCTTCTTTCTTTGTACCGATGTAGTTAACATCTCGCGTTCATTCATCTAAGGAAATTGCCAAGGTGAAGGAGTTTCGGTTTTGTGGTTACGTGGATACACAATGTCCTTCATATTGCTACTCTGCTGAGAGTATTGTTAGATGTTTCCTTTATGCATAATGCACACATTTTGTATGTGTAATTTATTTTTATTGCCTGGCGGAAGTGAATTCTTTAGAATGTGCGATAATTGAAACAAAACTTTTGCAGATGTTTCTACTTCAGGAGAGCCATCAATGAATGAAATATCTACTTCTGAAAAACCATTCGTTCCGGTTGAAATAAGCACATCATCACCTTCAAGTAGTAATGAGACGACTACTACATCTACGACATCGGTCACCCCTGTATCACATGGAAATTATCCATCGGTTAATATGTCTGATTTCAGAAGCGGTAAGTGTCATAGTAAATCTTAATAAATCAGAGAATTGAAATGCACCTAGATATATAAAATAAGATGTACATTCTACATCGCAATTTTGTTCCCAACTGTAAACATTTATATAAGAAACTCTGCCTGCATATGACCAGGCGAAATTTTCGTTCAAGTACAACGCATCAACGCACGAGTAAAATTATGCATTCACATATACAGGTATATCGTTTTAGATATAATTGTTACCATATTAATTTCATGCTTTTGTCTGAGAAGGAATATTAAACGATTTGCTATGGACCATAATCACACATGAGTAATAGCATCAAATTATACAATTACAAAGGCTAAAGCGTTAGGGTTCTTGATAAAGTTCAATGATTCCCGCGTCACGCATTCTTGTGCACCCCGGCACAGGTGCGAAATAGAAAGGTAGAAAGTAAATTAATAATAAATTTTCTTTTATTAAATTATAATTTGTATTTACAATAAAAAACATTAAGAAATTTTCAAGGTAAAACTATATTTTACTACTACCTACTTAAGTAGAATTTCAAAGGACTAGCCAGTAGTATAGTAAGCCTTTTTGCTGCTGATAAATTAAGTTCACTCATGCATTTATATAAAGCAAATATAATAAATAATTAATTAGATATAAAAAGTATGCAAATGAAAAATTACTCTTTTCGGCTCTTTCTTTTCGCTTCAATAAATTTCTGATTAGGATGGTTTAGGCTGATCATATTTAATTTATATGATAAAATTTATATAAAGATTGAAAGTTTGGTAAAATATTAGTAGTGTCATTGTTTTCCTGAGAATTTTTATTTTCAAAACCAGTAGTTTCCAACCTTTTTGTACCTGCTCACTCCCGTTTTTTAACAAAGTTGTTGCGCTTTCTTAATTTTTTTAATAATTAAATTTATTAATTCCCAAGTGATATTATAATTTATTTACCGGGCTATAAAATTATAAATAATAATATGTAAAAATATACTTAAAAAATTACTATTTATTAACTTACCACAATGTAGTTATAGTAATCGCAAAAAATCGAAAATGAAAATTTTTATATATCTTTACGTTTCAAAGGTTTCTGAACATTTGGCATACCTCAGAAAAAATGGATGTATGTGTGTGTGTGTGCGTGTAGGTATGCGTGTGTGGATACAAATTTGCGTCGCCGATTTTGCGAACACCGATTTGAATATTTCAAAAAACATTTCACTTGTATTGACGAAATTAACAACTGCTCAAAATTTTGTAAATGCAGGTTCAGCGTTTTCAGATATCCAATAAAAAAAGTAAAAAATAATGACATTTGGCGGTCAAAAATGAACATTAGACATATGTACAACGTATTATCAGATATTTTGTAAAAATTATTATGATAAGTACAAATTTTGTGTACATTTATACGGGTTCCGTACCAATGTGTACACGTTAGACGACTACGCGGCGCTCTTGCGCTTTGATATTTCGACTCCAAATCAGCTATGCAACGCGATTGCTTTAAAAAAATATTCAAAATTTTCAAAATATACAAAATAATCAGAATATAAAAACACTCAATTTTTTTCAAAAAAGTCAATTAGAAAAAAAATCTAATTTTCTCAAAATTTTTGAAGTTTTTTTAATAATTTAGTTTTTGTTACGGAAAGTTTCAGCATTTTGCTTTAAGGCACGATGCCATGCACCACTAGTTTCTATTGTAAAATAAATATGAAGTTTGAAAGTTTAGTAACAAGGAGACCAATTTTCTGATATAGAAGTCTGAATAGAAATGGTATGGTAACGCTATGTTACGGGCCTACCTTCGTTCATCCGAGAATTTGCACCTAAATTATCATTATTTGTATTATAAGTACAAAGGATTACAGAATATCAAGACATAATTTTTACGTTTTCACTCTTTATAATATTATAGTTTTCACATAACTTATTACCTCTCGTTTGGCGTTCTTCTCACCTTTGTGCTGAAGTGGTAGTCTTAAGGGTCTATCCAATTCATATTGTTTTTAATAACCCATAAATGCGCCACAGCAAGTAGCAAACGATCAATGAAATTGTACATTGTGAACGTTGTCATAGTCGTTATTTATCTCATACAATACAAGTCGCAAAAAGGCATTAAACTTTATGACGGAAAACAATACGGGCCTGTAAGTAGGAAGCCGAGCACGTCCTAGCGTCGTACGAGGACTGTGAATCATTGTGCTTAGCGGTTTTGTCGTTATGGTGTTTGCGAGTAAACAAACTTACTTGTCTATGTTCTACACAATGACACTATTTTGCTGTTAATAATAGCACTTTTTGTTCAGTCTTTAAAGCAAATTCCTAGTCTTTAACTTACACCTCTGGCTGACCTGTTAGTTTTGTTCTTGGAACGTGTGGTACGTTGCATGGCCGTGCTCATACAGTTTAGAACAGTTTAATCTTCCGGAAGAACTAGGAACAATATGAACCAGCATTTAACGTTATAGGAACATAAAATTGAGGCATGTTCACACGACGCTTGCTTTGTTGGTTTATTGGTCGGCTGGCTAGCATGCTGGTTGTAGGTAAAATGACGTGGTATCGATCTCCATTTGTTTCCAGCAACCGAAATTTTGATACTAGAATGTGCTCTATTTTTGTTTATGGATTATAGACCTAAGAATAAAGCCACACGACATTTGTTTTCTGGCTACATAGCATGCTTGATTTTTGAGTGTGATTTGTTTTAGTTTGCTTAGTTTTTGAGTATGATTTGTTCTGGCTTGCTAGATTTTTGAACGAGATTTGTTTTAGCTTATTATCAAATTTTATAAATCACATGACCAAATACTGCCTCCTTATTGGTTCGAACAAATAAATTCATTCAGAAAAATAGCGCCCGTTCTAACTTTTCCTTGAACATTTGACAACCAGCATGCTAGCTAGCAAACCGAAAAAGCTACGGTACAAGCCTCGTGTTATTTGGACTTTGAACGTGCGCTATATTTGTGGATGAATTCATTCATTTGAACTAATAGTTAAGCAGTATTATATCATATAGTTTTATATATAAAAATCTAGCAAGCTGAAACAAAATCCTCGTCAAAATCGAGCATTCTATCCAGCCCAGAAAACAAGCGTTTTGTGAACAGGACTTTATAAAAAACTGATCCATAAGGTCTTTTTTATATTATTAGAGCAATAGCCTTATGATGGCAAATCAATGGTTGCCCTATTTCTTCTTGATCAATTTTTTATTGGAACAACTCCAATACTGATGACTTTTTATGGGTTGCAGCAATTTCTGTAAGGGCTATTTTTACTTGAAAACATATTGCTACTTATATTTCAAGTGGGCCCAGTGGTGGCAAAATCGATTCGGACGTGGACTAGCACCAACTAGTCTCGGGTTCGCTGGTTCGATTCCCGCTGCCACCAAAGCCCGACAACAGGTAGCTTTGATGTCAAATTTCCATTTGAGGTTATAGGTCTCAATATAATTTTAAGTGAAAATTGCCCTGCGTGGATATAGCAGCAATATTCAATCATATGATAAATATTTGACAGAAGAGCTAATATAAACACCACACATAGGAGAATCGTAAACCGATGGGTTGTCTCTCATCGAACATTAGGTTATAAGTCTTTAACAAACAGCTTATAAGACATGTAAGGTTAAGTAGTTTTGATAGTAGTTGAAACAATAAATAAAAATGATAAAAAAATATTTTATGTAAAAGATTACGTGTTAAAGTATTTTTTTACACTTTAACAGAACCTCTGATTTTATAGCATAATTAATTTATATTGATATGATAGATTGTAGTATGTTTGACAAATTTAAACCAAAAAACCACAACACACTATTAAAAATATATAAGATATATAAAAAAAAACAATAAAATAAAATAAAAAACGTAAAACAATAAAATTATGTAGTAGCTACATGACTGACGATTTATGAATAAATTGATTCTCTTCTGATCTATAAATTAGTTTTTGTAATAGGTTATAAAATACAATCAATTTTAACATCGTTTATAAAAGCAAATGGATCATTAAATATTTATTATCGTATTAAAATATATATCTAAAGTTCCACGAAGTATTTATGAAGTATGTCAAGAGCATGAAATTTAAAATGACACAGAAGACATTGACAGATGTAGATGGCAAGTAAATGTTTTCATATAAATTTTCATATAAAATAATAGAGTGTGCCGTAGTGTAATGGTTGAGAACATGGGCTAGTACAAACTAGTCTTGGGTTGGAAATCTGCCTCGGGCATCTCGATGTCAAGAAGTATTATATAAAATTTCTTTTTGAGGTTATAGATCTCAAATGTAACCTCAAGTAAAAGTCACCTTTTGTGGGCATTGCTGCAACATGTACGCCAACACTATTAGATTTACATAACTAATATTTTTGGTTGACCGCTGGGTTGCTTTCTTGAGAAAAATACTAGGTTAGGATGTGCAATAGCAAACACAGCTCATAAAACACGTAGTTCTGATCGCTGTTAAAAAAAACTCCAAAATAATATCTCACCTGCAAAATTTACAGTGGAAAAAACATCTATTGGTGGATTTTTATTTAATTATCATTATTTCTGTAAAAACTACAATGCGGAATTTACGTTCCATTATTACATGTTATATAAGTCTTTCTCAGACAATGATATTCTAATGCTTTTTATTAATGATAATTTTTTGTGCGGAAATCATCTTCGGACTATTGTTCTAAAATTTACACATTGCCATGATACCATCATGCTATTCTTTTATTATCATAATATGGTAGTTTTGTCTACGAGATGGTTTGAGTATTCATGATACATAATTATTCAACGTAAATTAGATATGTACAGTAACGTTGACATGGCTAATTTGAGAAGGCAATTAATATTAATTGATATTTTAAATACAGAAATTATAATGAGAATGGATATTATGGACTTTTGTGATAGCTTCAATCAGTAATAAGTAAAGTGTACCTAATTAATGAAATATCTTTATGATTGTCAACACTAAGATCGTGAAATATTCATCTATCCCAAGCAGTTTTAAAATTATATACATTTAAGCAATACCCTAAACTGGGTAACTTTGGAAGAAATGGATTATTGTGGACTAATACTCTAATAACCCTAACTATCATTTTTAGAGTTCTATTGTTTAGAGATTTTAGTATGTTCCCATAGATCAGTGAAATGTAAGAACGAAATTGTTGTAATATGAGCTCTTTATACATTAACTTATTCAAATCTTTAATTCTGCGCTTGATCAGCAAACCATTTCAAACAATTGCAAAAAATAACTAATAATGCTCATCAGATACGTAAATCTTTTCAAGCAGATCAACGTTCTTACGCAATTCTTCCGGGTTTGTTTTAATCTTGACAACGGACCCCAACATGAGCATAAATAAATATAATATTATTTTAAATACATGTAATTAAATCTGTTTGCGGCAATTAAATAGTCAACCGTTCGCATCCACCTTGTATACAAGGCGAATTGCTGAAATAGACAGGTCGCTCGAGAGAAGGAATTTTTTTTTTTGATAAAATTAAAATAAGTAAATAAATAATTATATATATATACAGGGATCCCAGACCTCGACGTCAAGCTGAAACGGCGATATAGTATTGACCATAACTAACTGTCTTGAAAAAAATTAGAAAAAAAATATATTTTACGTTGTTTGGATATTATGAGCTTTCGAGTGCAACCCAGAGCTTTGGTGGTATTTTGACAATTTTTCGGTTATTGTGGGTAATTTTTATTAATTTTGTTTATTTAAACTTTGGAACCGTAACCGTGAATAACATTTCTAGGACCACAGTATAAAATAATAACATAATTGCTCCAAGTTTTTGAAAATTAAGACTTTTTGGCAAGTTTCCTCAAAAAATCAGGATTGTAAAGTAGTAAAATACATGATGATTTTATTATTGAAAAATTTTTAGTATGAAAATAACGCGATAATGGCTAATACATTTTGTTCACATCCAGTTCAAATACTTTTCTCACGACATTGAAGCTTATGAACAAACATTTGAACTGATTGTGAGAAAAATGCACTAGCCAAAATTATGTTGTTGTTAGGGTTTTAATTTTCATCACTAGAACAATTAAAAGCCAACACAAAAAGAAGGAACAACTACTGAGTTGCTTTGTGATAACACCAGGAAGTACATTACAAAAGCTCAGAGAACACATTAGATAGTTCTGGTTACTGTTCATGAAAATTTAAGAAAAGCTTATCACACTGGTTCTTCTGTTTCTGTTCGGACGTATTTTTATTTTATTATATTGACCGAGAATGCTGCAATCTTCATGGCATTGAGCTTTTACACCGTGCGGTTCCTACCCTGTAGAGGGGGTAGGGAATTTGTATAATAAATAATCAATAAACATATCTTCTTCAATTGGAACTTCAATGGTGTAATTAAGAACTTGCAACAAATACAGAAATTATACCAACAAATCAGTGTTTAAAGAGTCTACAGCAACAAGGGTTAAATAATAACCTGATTTATCGAAGGAGAGATTTAATACGCAAATACAATATAAATGAATTTATTGTTTTTTTTTTGAGAGTAAATTGAATTTCAATGGCATTGTTTGGTAGGATTACCTTTTTAGATATTGACTCTGCAGCAAATTAACTTATGTTTTTCTAAAACCCATCCACCCAGAGAGCTTTCAACGCTAGGATTATCAGTTGCAACAATTTTTCCTCCAGCTTTCCGTCTAATCTCTTTGTTTCAAACGCAACACGTTTAGAATATGTTCTCGAGCACATGAGTATTTCATCCAACACCTTCTCATTCTAGCGACCAAAGCATTTTCATATTAATAATTGTCTTAGAATGCGATGAACGCAAAATCGACCCGCGGTTGTAGAACAGTAACAATCTAATAATAAGAATAACTTACAATTGAATGATGTAAAAGCGGTTTTACTAGTCGTTGCCTTTAGTTTTTATCCAGTACACGAGAAGAGCAGTTATATTTTCGATAACGTCATGTTTTGAGACGCGAGTGTAAAAAAAGTAACAAATTAATTTTGTATGGTAATTTATGGAAAATAATAGTGAAAAAACACCAAAATATATACGTCTGCATGCAATGGGAGAAGATTCACAACGTTATTGTTCTGTGCGAGATGGAACATTTTGCAAATCAATGTGAAGATTTAGATTGGATGTGATTAAATTATAATTTTTCAAAAATATTGTGCTCGCGAGAATGTTGTAGTTCAATTTTCAGTGTTTTCATGCAATAAATTTTCATACTGATAGTTAATTTTATACAGTTACTGATGTGTCTTATTGGTAATGAATCACAAGATATCTGATGAGGTCTATGAACGGAAGCCGGTCTATACATCAGTCAGATGTGTCTAGGATAATAATCTTGTTTTCTTTATAACTTCCTGGACGTGGGTAAACATCAACATTCAATATTTTCACAAGTTTTCATCGTTGCTCATTGAGTAATATGATTGTTGTTATAAATTTTAATTCGAAACGATAATGTGTTATTAAAACAACATTATAAAATATACAGTTGTAGGTATTGATTATCTATCATTAAGCGACCTTAATTAATTCACCCGTTAAGAACGGTGACATGCCATATATCACATGCAACAAGTTTAATGATACTGACATATGTATGCGGAACTTTCTTACTGGTTTATCTAATGATTAATAAATAGGTATTTGTAATGTTAATTAATGATGCAACTGTTTATGTAATCGATTCAGAAATAAATGTTTAAATAAAATATAATCAATTGCCCGCGGATCTTGTGATGGTATATTTTAATTATTACAATTATATGGTAATGGGAGATGATAAATTCTAATAATCTAATTTAATGTTGATTATCTAATAAAATAGCATTTTTATATGAGAAACTCGGGTTTATGCATAATTAAAGATACGTATCATATTTGCAATCCAAATTGCGGTAGTCGAAGGATCAGTTTTTTTTTTATTGACTTTCGATTTTACTTCATTTAGCCATATATCTAATTAGAATAAAAGTTGTTGGCCATATATTTTATTTTTATGATTAGCAATACATCTAAAAGCTTGAGAATTTTGAAAAAAATTATTCAAATTTTTTATTCAATAATATAATACATAAAAGTGAATGTGAGTATTTTTTGATTTTGAATATCTATCTCACGTAGTTTAAAATTTTTAAAAGCTTAAAGTTTTTTGAGAACTTTGGTAAAAAAGTAGATTTTTGAAAATTTTGAACTTCCTCAATACACGTAAAATGTTTATGAATCATTCAAATCGGACTCTCAAAAATTGAATTACCACTTTTGGCACTTGTTGCCCCGTATCTTTGAAACGGCCAAACTTACTTTGGCAAAATAACTAATCAGCACGTCTCTTCATCAATAGGAATCGAATGCTTTTTGAATCATTCAAATCGGTTGATCCGTGGTCTAGAAATCGTCGATGAAAAATTGTATCCGCACATACATACGCACATACACACATACATCAAGCTATCAATTATTTGAGAAGGCTTTGAAACGTAGAAATTAGATGTAACGTAGTTACAACGTAACGTTAATGTAACGTAGATTTTTTGCGATTAGTATAACTTAACCTACAGAAAGTTCATAATTATTTGAAACATTCTTGATAATATGAATTAAATAAATTAAATTAATTATAAAAAAATATAACAAAGACCATATTATAATGTAAATTTAAGGATTTGAGTTATAGATACGCACACACGTACATCATTTTTTTCTAAGGAATGCCAAAATGATCAGAAGGATTTAAAACGTAAAAATATATAAAAAAAATATTTTTCGATTTTTTGCGATTTTTGATAATATGAATTAAATAAATTGAATGAATTATGCAAAAATATTATAAAGACCATATTACAATGTAAACTTAAGGATTTGTGTTATAGATTATTTATTGATGATGAATCTTGGGAAGTTGTATTTATTGTACCAAAACATGCCATGAGATACAGAATCATTTTCAGTGGTTTATTCATCATCACATTTGTTATAAAATTGCTTTGATAGTTTTTACACAATTTCATGTATAACAGTGATTTTTAGTCGATTGTGTGGATATTGGTTTGATATGCAATGATAAGTGATTGGATTTTTCTTTATATCTAGAATTATTCCGGGCAGTTTGTTGGTGGGTCAAAAAGCTTTTATCGGAAATCAGGTACGACAAAGCTCAGTGTGATTACATAAATCGGTTTTTAGTAATGCTACGAATTATCCGGTCGCCCGACGACATCCGTAGCTGTCGGCCGCGTTCTGGACGCGCTTTGCCCGCGTTGGGAGTGATATCTTCGCGATGAAAAAACGATCTTTACCCAGTGGTGCATGCGTTGTACTTGATGCGTTGTTGTTGATATCGGGTGCATTCTCAATTCTACGGCTAGTGGCGGTGGTTTGTTCGCATACAGTCGTTTTGTTTCACTGTATTCCGGTAATGGTCCTGTTGAATTCCACTCTAATGGTGTTGGCAGTGTGCGGTCGGCGGCTGTTTCCCGAAGCGCGCATAGTCGGCGGAGCGAAGGCGACCTTCGGCAAGTGGCCTTGGCAGATCTCGCTCAGACAGTGGAGGACGTCGACCTATCTGCACAAGTGTGGAGCGGCCCTTCTTAACGAAAACTGGGCCATTACTGCTGCTCACTGCGTTGACAAGTAAGTGGAAAACGACACATGAAAATACTTCTCACCCTTAATTTTACGATCTTTATTTATTGATTTCCAATTTATCTGGACATTGACATTAATCTACAATTTTTACATTTATTTATTTTTACTTTTAATTATTCATTCATAATCAAGTCGTAATTAATAATAAAATTTTTAAATACCAATAACATATACCTATATCAGGTTAAAATCAATGAACTATTTATTATACAATTAATGTTGGATAGATATAAAGTGGTTGGTATCTGAATCGTTTAACATGTTAAGACCATATGCCCACCGGTGGGTCTCAACGCAACTACATTACCAGATCGGATTCCCACATGTAGGGTAGGGCAGGGCACAAAGGTCCAATTTGTGTATCAGTAATTATAACTAAAAGAACTACATGACAGCACATAACATGTATCAAACAAACAACTCTCAAATTATGTTCAGTAAAATTATCAGTTAAATCCTAATTAAAGAAATATGTTGTTTTTACGATTTTTCTAAAAATTGTCATCTGTTTTCTTTTGCCCATGAGGGCAAAATGGGGGACAAAGACTAAAACGCCTAAATAGATACATTATTCAATCAATGCGAAATTTAAATTTAATAGGGATTTTTTTTACAAAGATGGCATTCTGTATGTACTTTGGGGTGGTACTTTGTCAGAAATTTCATCAGCAGTGTTAAAGTAACTGTTAATTTAATTTATATATTGCAAGATTACTTAATTTAATTGGTTAATTAACTTAATTCACTTGTTTGCTTACTATTTTCTTATTGTTTATACCTTTACACCACCAGTATAAAGGTGTAAACTCTCTACCATACTTTATTTTAATTATTAAACCATCTTATCCCTCTATAGTCCCGCGTGACTTTCAGCTCACATTATAAATTATGCGATATGTTATCGAATAATTATAGATTTTTTTGTGATATGACATATAAATCTTAGTCCTATACGTCGTGAACTCAACCAATATTAATATTTATGACCTTTGCTAGGCTTTTCAACCTGAAATAACAGTTTCATACAAAGAAGTTCAAAAATTATAGGCCGCTGTGAGTTAAAAGTGACGTTGAAATTATATCACTTGAAAGTCACATAGTTCATTAATACGAAAAAAATTGTTTAGATAGATTTTTTTGTTTTTCATTTACAGATATAGACTTATAATTACTGAGTTTTTGCTTCTTTAATTTTTTGGACGTAAAATCAAAATTCGGCCCATAGGTTTTTTTTAATATTTTTTTTATTGGTCTCTGATAACATTTAACCATATACATAATATACAATACATATATAGCATATATATTATATTAATCACTTACATCTTAATTTTACTATCATAAACAAACCTAATTATGTAAGGATAACAATTCAAATTTTGCAATAATTATGTCAAATTGAAGGGCCCATAGGGTTAAAAGTTTACCCTGGGGCCTCTAGCTTCGCTGTACCCCAATCTATTTTAATTATTAATTTATAGATTCAATTTTACCTGATTTTAAGTTTACCTTATTTCAATCTGATTGGCATTATTCAACAGTGTGGTCATTCATATTAGGTTGTCAAATATCTCCCTTCCGCTTTTTTGCTATTGGTTTATAATACAAAAAGGCGGAAGGGAGATATTTGACAACCTAATATATCATAATTAAATTTTATGAACTAATTAATTTTAATTATTTAATTACTGTGGGATCGATTAATTAAACAAGTAAAATGGTAGCCACCTGAGTTATTCAAATAATTGCTGGTTGCATTATGCTTAATTACTAAACAAAATATTTGTTACAAATTGTTAGTAGTATAATGGCAGTGTAGCTAGAATCCTGAAAATTCAAATGGGCATTAATTAACATAATCAAGATTCCGTCCATCGATTAGTGGTTTGAAGAGAAGAGTTCTCATATGTTGAGTCACTGCACTGAATTCATTGTAGCGTACATCCACCCAGCGCCGTTTATCCACCTACCCAGGTTCAACAGTCGAACACCGGTTTACTTGTCTTCTTGATCATAAGTAATGAAAACACGAACTATATCATAATACCCGAGCTGTGGAAGTACAACAACCATACCGATGATGGGTCGGCGGAAACAGCAATTCTTCTTTACAGAGCCGCATTTTATACGATCTCATTTTTGTTAAAAAAATTAGTAGATAGTTTTATATTTGACAAATAGTTTGTTCAGGGCAGAGGCTTGAATGTTCTTTGGCAGAAAGCTTCATCACTTCAAAACAAGTGAAGTAGATTTTTTGAAACAACACTATTTGAAAGTGGAGGGCAAAAGAAGTGTCACGAGCCATCACCCTAAGTCGGTCGACTTCGCTACTATTTGTCAATTTTGTAATACTATTGTCAATTTTGTAACGAAAGTATTTGTTTTGATTGTTAGTCATTTTTGAGCACGATTGTTTAGTTGACGAAATCTGAATATAATTTTCAGGTATACGATTTTAATTGTTTTATAAAGCGTATTGTTATATTTAAGTTACATTCAACAGTTTTTTTATATCCTCTAGAATAGATCACGTATAATTGGGTTAAAATGGACTTTTGTGTTTTGTCCTACCTTACTTATAAATGAAATTTTTTATTTAGTCTTTGCTATAGATCAAACCCTTCTGATTATTTTGGGTTTATTACAAAAAATAAATTTATGTGTAAGTGTGTGTTAATCAACAACTTTTAATACATTCTGATCTTTCTGATGAAGGCAAGTGAATGATTTCGGAGAAAAGGCAATAAGCAGCCAAAAATGGTCAAATCAATTCAATCAATGGATTCATGTATCTTAATTTTTTTTTTTTATTTTTTTCAAAAATTTAATAATTTTTTTATGAAAATCACATAGGGTAGAGCGGTACTTAAAGGTTCACTATCATTATCTAAAAAAACAAGCAATGTATAATTTTGTTATTGATACTGTTTCAAAGAATAAAGCAAAATATGTGAATATAACAATCACCTTAATTTTTTCGATATCGCTCTCAGGATAAACGGAAATGTATCAATATTCATACCAAAAGTTTTTTTTTCGGTTTGGATCTTTTGTATTTAGTTTATGATACCTGAATATAATTTATAGGTATACATTTTAATAATATTTTAGGTATAAAATTAAAAAAGACGTTGAATCCGTTTGCCTCCTAGCTGTTCTTTTCTACCCCTCCAATGGGGCAAAAAGAGACAGATAACAAATTTTAGAAGAAATTTTTAGTTAACTAGAAATTTTACAGAACATAGTTCGACAGTTGTTTGTTTGATATATGTTATGAGCTGTCATGTAGTTAATTTTGTTTAGACACTATAAAAGTCAAATTATACCCTTGTGCCCCGCAATATCCTAATATGCTCAAATATTTTATCTCGAGTGCAATGATCGAAATTTCCGTTATAAATTAAAAAAAACTGAGTAAGTAAGGGTAAGGTTTGTGATTTTTATGCAGTATACAGCTTTATTTGTTATTTTTTATGCAATCTAGAGTTCCGTTCCAATAATTAGTCTATAAAATTATAACCAAAACCAATTTAATTATTTTCGGGTTTTAATCATATTTTTTTGTTTTTATTTATTTTTATTTAAAATTTAAAAAAAAATATAACAATTTTCAATTAAATCAAATTTGTCAGAAATTGTAACTATTTAAAAAAAAAATGAAATGGCAAGTTCCAGCAATTTGCTTTAGCAAAAGCACAAAACATTTACACTACCAGTTTTTACTAAAACTTGAAACCTATAGTAGATCCAGATTGAAAAGAAACTTCGAATATCAATTTGATCAACTAATTTTCTTATGCAGTATCAATTTCAATTATTTTTTCCTCTTGGCGATTATTTACGTGCAAAACCAATTCAGCAACTTTAGATTAGACAGATCATCATATTGTTTGTCGATGCAAAATGCAAACGAACCATAATAAATCAGCAAATCGTTTTTTCTCTTATTGATTTCGTTCATTTGAACGCACGTAAAACTTTTCCCAGCATTCTACAGCGCTGACACACGTTTAATTCTGTATAACAGTAAACATATAAAAACATATTTTTATTAACACATTTACCGACTGTTCGGAATTATGCCAATGGTCCATCATCAAATTCCACGATGTATGTTTTTTCATTTAACAAAATTGACTTTTGGTATGAGATTCAGTATTCTGTCGAGACGGTGCGGATGATCATGATAATGCAATATACCGTTGCGGTATGAAACGAATGCGGTCGGATGTTATTGATTGTTACCGCAATTTTATTATCGTCATCTTGGCTCTTTTTGTTTCGATGCCATCTCAACAATTGCAGATTTATGAGGCGACATAAATTGAATTTCAATCATTGGAAATGGCGCAATAAAGAAGATACGTTATCTGTTGAAATCCCATTAAGAGATTTGCATGTATTCATCTCCTATCACTGCCGCAAATTGGATAATCGATTCAATTTGTTAGAAGTTTAGTTTTTTATGATTGCTATTTGTCTATTGTAATTAATTTAATAGTGGTGCATAGCATCCTTATTATGCCTTAAGGCAAATTGCTAGAACTTTCCGTATCCGTTTTTCAAATTTTTGAGAAAATTAGTTTTTTGAGAATTTTGAGATAAAAATTACTTTTTGAAAAAAAATTTTATATGTTGGAATTTTTTGTTAAGTTTGAACTTTTTTAAATCAATCACGCTGCTTAGCTGTTTAGAGTCAAAATATCGAAGCGCGTAAGCGCCGCATCGTAGTCTAACGTGTAAACATTGACACGGAACCCATAAAAATGTTCGCAAAATTGGTACTTATTATTATAATCTCTATAAATATCTGATAATATACTGTGCATATGTCTAATAATCATTTTTGGCCGCCAAATAGCATTATTTTTTACTTTTTTCATTGGATCTCCAAAAACGCTAGACCTGCCTTTCCAAAAAATTCACCAGTTATTTATTTTGTCAATACAAGTAAAATGTTCTTTGAATCATTCAAATTGGACGCTCTGTTCTCTCAAAAATTGAAATACCATTGTTGGCTAGACCTGTCTTTGCCAAAATATAATCAGCACGTCTCGTTATCAATGGGTTTCGAAATTGAATCATTCTAATCGGTTGATTCGTGTTCTCCAAATCGTCGATGAAAAATTGTATCCGCACATACATACACGCACACAAACACTGACACGCACACATGCATGCATTTTTTCTGAAGTATACAAAATGAGAATCCTTTGAAACGTAAAGGTATATAAAAAATTTCATTTTTGTTTGTTTTGCGATTACTTTAACTAATCGGGAAGTTAAAAATAGTTTTGTTGTTATTTCTAATTTTACAAGCAAAATCTTATCTTTTCATGATAGGGTACGAAGGTCCAATTTGACTTTAAATAATTATACTGTCTAAACCAAATGAACTATATCACAACAAATATCACGTATCAAACAAACAACTATCGAACTATGTTAAGTAAAATTCCCAGTTGATTCCAAACTATAAAAATGTGTTTTTTACTATTTTTCTATAATTTGTAATATGTCTCTTTTTATCCCATAGGCAGGGTTAAAATGGGATAGCCAGGGGGCAAACAGATCCAACGTCTTATATTTAATTTTAAAGAAATTTTACGAAATAATAGCTACAACATTCCACCAATGTAAAATATAAATTTTATGGCGACATTTTTTACGAAGATAATACCGTATATAACCTTGATATGGTATTTTGTCAGAAATATTTATTATCGGAATTGGAATAAATATTAATTGAATTTATTTCTCGTAAAAATTTAATAATCTTGTGGGGAAAAGATCATTATGAAATATTAATAATTTATCTTTACTTACGATTAGCCAATATGTATACACAGTGCTATCTATTTTATTCCCATGCACAATTTTTATCAAATGCGGATTATATTTCTGATCCAAGAAAGGATATCGTAATCCTTCGGCTACTCCAGCGATTAAATAATTTAAATCACATCTTCCTATGATAAATTCTATATATTCAATCCATCATGACTTGGAGTTGAACATTCCTTGTATCATACATATACAATAATTACAAGTACGTGAAATATTACAAGGCTTCTTCATTAGCGATGTTCGAAGAATTAGCTCTCTAGTAGCTCACGTCATCGTGTTATTATAAAAAATATAGTAATTTTGTGTTCATGATATAATTATTTATTTATTTAATTTAGTGTGCCACCGAGTGACCTCTTATTGCGACTGGGAGAACACGACTTGTCTATAGAAGATGAACCTTATGGGTACCAGGAGAGGAGGGTTCAAATAGTTGCTTCGCATCCACAATTCGACCCGAGGACGTTCGAGTACGATTTGGCATTGCTGAGGTATGAAACAAGAAAATATCTAAAAATTTACGGTCAACCCTCTTATAGCGCGGTACTCTGATACATGGACGTTTCTATAACGCGGTTTTTGTTTAACAACTCTTACGTTTTTCTAGTCCAGTCATTACAGTAAGTTCACCTCGGAATTCGAGATACCCAGCTGCAAGTCTGTAAATACTTGTATATTGACACCTAAAAGTTGTCTCAAAACCTATATACACACCCTAACATATGTAGGTTTTGAGACAACTTTTAGGTGTTAATATAAAAGTATTTACAGACTTACAGCTGGGTATCTCGAATTCCGAGATTCTTACCTAATTTAAGCTTAAATGACTAGACTATGCTCGCAATATATGGATGACTCTGCTAACTAAATGCTGTTTTATAATATAAGTTTTTATAATATTTTCATATCAACATTCTAGTTTATACTATAGCTGTGTACGACATCGGTTTTGGTAGTGCCTGAGCTCTTTCACAGCATGTTACTCTTTATAAAAAAAATGAATGGAATAAAAATTGTTGCAAAACAATTGTTTAGTTCAGTTGTTATTTCATGTTTTACAGCACTTAGTACCATTTTGTATGAAAAATGCTACGTAGCATAGCCTTGCCATAACATTGGTGTATTTTATGGCAGAATCGCCCCTTTCAATAAAATCGATTTATATTTTTTATCATATATTTATATGAACTTTACAATAAAATAAAAATAATTTTTAATTTATCCTGTCTTATGTCTTATAGCGCGGTACAATTGACTTGATTTGTATTTATACTAAGTTTCTTATAGTTTTTAATGCATGGTACTGATTTTTATTGATAATTGTTATTTATATTTATAGTTTACCTTTTAATTTAATTTTTATCTAATTAATTTTAATGTTTAGATTCTACGAACCCGTGAATTTCCAACCCAATATTCTTCCTGTATGTGTGCCACACACCGATGAAGGATTTGTTGGAAAAACAGCATATGTGACTGGCTGGGGCAGATTATATGAAGGTATGAAATTCATATTTTTACTAAATATACGAATTATTGAAGTAAAAGTTGCCACAACCAAACTCTTGTATCTTGTGGTATTCAGATTGAATTATAAACTGAATCTATAAATGAGATGCTGACCTTGACACAGCACGGTTTTGAAAAATGAATGAATATCTACTACTATGCAATAATTAATAATTATAGGAATTTTTGTAGTGCCTGGAAATGATCGAATTTTATTTCTCTTGTTTCTCAAGATTGTTTATTCTCATGTGCCTAAAACCACATGTGGCATTCTTTCATATCACAGACCATGCTATAGCATCATTTCCAAATAATCTCGACTTTCCAGATCGCATAGCAAATGCCTGACGCCTGATTGCACAGCAACCACATAAACTTTAAACAGTCTTTACTACCATTTTATATGATGAACGCAGCGTAACATAGTCTCACCATTGGTTTATTTTACTGCAGAATGGGTCATTAGTCTTTCTGTGCATTCTGCGTTTCTCTGCATTTGTTTGCATTTTTAAAACATTATTCACTATATTGGAGAGAAAAGAATTACAGAATACTAAATAATTAACAATCTTTCAAAATAGTTTAGTTGTTAAATGTATATTGTTATCAAAACCATTGAAATAACCGTGAATAACAGTTGTATTTGAATGATGCTTGTCAGTAACAAAAATATCATCCACATATCTTCCATTAAAATTAATTTGTAAATTTATCGACGAAAAAACTGTGACTGAAGACCAAATAGTCAAACGAACTTTGTATTTGCAGAGTAAATTATTTTCAAAGAAAATAATGAAACAAATTTAAAAATTTATTATAACTCTGACTACTCAAGTTGGAGATTAGAGAAGCTACTTCATTTCACATATCTTCCTATATGGATATGAATATGAATTGATTGCAATATTCTATTTATTATAGATGGTCCATTACCAAGTATATTGCAAGAAGTTTCGGTACCTGTGATCAACAATTCAGTGTGTGAGACAATGTACCGATCTGCCGGTTATATAGAACATATTCCTAATATCTTCATCTGCGCCGGATGGAGAAAAGGCGGTTACGATTCCTGTGAAGGTAATAAAAATATTATGCAATAAATTATCGATTCAAAGATTTTTCTGTTTATACAGGAAATCTTTTCTAGAACGAAATAAAAAATTCTCAATCTTAGAACTTGAACTGTCTTGAAAGGCATTCAGTACTTTTGGTGCCCAGTGTACAGCAGTAAGATGTTATATTGCTACCCAGCAGTAGACATTTTAAATTTGAAATTGATGATAGTATAATAATAACTATTGTTATTGTTTTAACCATTTTTTTAATTTGATTACAATATTTTAACGTGAATCACTTATAAACTAGCTAAGTCTAAAGGACTTGTTTTTAAAGTTGTCTAGTAATTTTTGCGGATAGCAGGTCTTTAGCGATTTTATTGGGAATTGTTTTGCTTATTTTATAAATCATATAAATAGATAAATACATATCAGCTGTGCATAAATTGTAAAAATATTAATTGACAATTGTTAGACTCTCCAAGAACAACTGGCTATTATTAAAGAACCACACAATAGTGATTTATTTATTATATATCGTTCTTGTGAAACTAACATCAGGGATTCTAAAACTTTGACAAAACCGGATTAATCAATTCTAATGATGATTTTTATTGATGCAGATAACATTGTATTAGTAATTTAGTTTTTATGTATAATGGGATAATAATGAGGTAATTGCTCAATAATTTTATTACAAATTGTTCTATATATATGTTGGAGAAAAAGGTAAATTTAAAATAGCATTTTATCCAGTAATACTTTTAGTAACATGATATATTTAATTTTGCGTTAGTTTTATATTGACTACCACTGTTCAATTCAAACTGTATATTTTATATTCCTCAACAAACATGTATTTAGGGATTTTTTTCCACGCTTATTCAATTGGAACATCAGCAAATTTTGTGTAGTATTTAGAATGTTTAAATAGAATGCCAATCCAATGATTGGACGTTCGGATATGATGTTTAGGTAATTTATTCCGATTAATTATTTTTTGAATTTTTTTTATAATTTACAATCTGTCTTTATACAAGAAAAAAGGCATTCAGTTATTTTAGGGATATATGGATATTTAACATCTATTCTAAAAGGTTACTCAGTAGTAAGTCTTATTAAAAATTTAACTATTTAAACTGTGCATTGAAAAATTATTTATTATATTGAACCCTTTCCACTCGGATACCGCCGTTCTGGCGGCAAAATTCGTATAAATCTCGGAATTAGCGAGTGGAAAGGGTTAATTATATTTTTATTTTACTGGCCTCAGATAAATATTTAGCCACCAACATATTATACAGATAGATTTTACTTATATACTTACTTTTACCTAACATGATTATATAGGAATAACAATTTGCATTTTGCAATATTGATACCAAATTAAACAGTTTAATAAGCGACTTCATGGAGTAAAATTCTTCATTTTCGGGACGGCACCGATTTCAAAACAATCTACTTTACCGGCTGTAAACTTGATTTCATTGTGTATGTTATGCAATTTGTTTGATAAAAATTTGTGGTCATTGAAGGACATACATTTTTTATATTAATTTATTTTTGATCATTTCATAAAGAATGGTGACGTTCAAAACAATTTCCAAAATGCATAGCTTGTTGATTTTGACATATTTAAAAGCGCTCGGTCGTTTTAAATATTAAAAAAAGACCATATAGCAAAGAAAAAGGCTAAAAATACTACTAAAATAATTTAAAAATATTTTCAAAATACAATACTGTTTATCACTGCTATAGTAATTTATTCAACTTTTCGATGCAAACTGAGTCATTGTTTATAAAATAGCCTGTGCCTCACAGAATATGTTTGTCCACTGAGGTGGACAGCCGTCCCCAAAGTGTTATTTGTATATCAATTACAAAAAATGTTTTATTCCAGGTGACAGTGGTGGTCCAATGGTGATCCAACGTCCAGACAGACGATTCCTGCTGGCGGGCATCATTTCTTGGGGCATCGGATGTGCAGAGCCAAACCAACCAGGAGTCTACACCAGGATATCTGAATTCCGTGACTGGATCAATCAGATATTACAGTTCTAGTTAATGTTGTTAAGTTGAAGAATAAGAGAAAGAAACAATTGAAACTGTACTAAGTTGTTGTATTATTATAATTGATAATATTAAGATATTTATACTATTTATAAAAATCCGTCCTTGATTCGTTGGTCAATATTGAAAATGTATTTATATTTAGATGTAATGGAAAATTTGATATAATTCTGTGCGTGTATGTTAATTGTTAATTTATAGATTGTATGAAAATGTTAGGTTTATTATATATTTTAAAAATTGTAGTATGTCGTATTAAATTTCATATGGTGACTTAAAAGCAAAGAGTACAACTGAAACGTTTTGGATACAAAACAATATCAAAACGTTTTACGTAACATTGCATTTTTAAGTCTGCATGTGATAAGACATTGTATTATATTGTAAATCAGATAAAAATGCAAAAATTGCATTGGTGAAAGGTGGGGGTATCAGTACAATAATTTTATTTCGATGGCATTTGTGTTCAGTATTCCGACGAAATCTTCCATGGACGGTGTTTATATTTACTTTTAATAAATCGATAGGGGCCATCAACAATAAACGTGCACAGGTATAATAAAATATTTTAAGAATATATATTTAGTCATAATGATTTCTTAATATTTATTAAATTTAGTGCGCTATTTATATAAAAATCAGTAAAGTCACTTTTTTTGTAGAGGATTCAATCCACTCATTAAAAACGTTGAACAGATTTATTACGCTGTTAAGTCTGATGTTTTTTATGCAAAACGTTATAAAAGTGATATTACTTAGCTATAAATGAATATATAGCTGCTATTTTTGAAATAACAAAAGAGTGATTTAAAATATTAAAGTAATTAAATATATTTTGATATCATTAAATGTATCCCGAAATATATTTACACTAAACGGTTATATTTTATATATATATATATATATATATTTATATTTATTGAATTTAAACTAAAGAATTATGTTATTATAGTTGAAATAGATACAATTAGATATATTTAAATATGAATTATAATTTTGAATGTACATACTATTTGTTTGGTGAATGTAGATTATATGAATATTAAAATGTTTGATACAGAAAAAATTTAAACAATTTATTTTTTTTCCTGAGGAATATCGAACTGATATTAAATTCAATCTTAATATGTTCTCTAAACAACTGTGTTTGTATTCTATTATTTAAACAAAAATCAGAACTAAGTAGGTATTCCACGATCGTTGATAATGAGCTTTTTCTCATTTTCTTGCTATTTGTAGGCAACCCAATGGTTGTCCGCTCTAGTTTGAATATACTATACAACTTGAAATAATTATCTTTTGAATTACTTTTTTTACGCAGAAATGCCTGAAAGTGCTATGTTAATTAGGATTTAAATTTTATACTAATTGTTTATGAATATTCGGTATCAGTTGATAATTAATTTTGTTAATAGTAATTTGTTATAGACTAATCAGAACTCAATAGTTCTATAAATTGTAGTGATTTCATTTTTTTTTATTAATTATAATCTGTTTTTATAAAAAAAAACAAAGACATTCAGGAATTTTGAGGATACCATAAATATTTAACATCTATTCTAAAAGGAAACTTATGTCAGTAGTAAGCCTTTTTAACTATGATAAATAAATAATATTGAATTGCTGTCATATGAAGTGAAATTAAGACATTAGTAATATTTTATAATTTTTTTTATTAATATTCTGTATATAAACATATTTTTGGTAATATTGCTGTAGTAATCTTAACATCGCCTTTTAGAAAAAAAAAACCAACAACTGGCATATTTACAATTAATATATATTTGATATTAGAACTTTTTCTAATTCTGACTTATTTATTAATTTGATGTAGGAATGACATGGAAGGGCTATCTTCACTCGTAAACATATTAAGACCTACATGTTCAAGTGAAAACGGATAGTACTACTGCCTGATATCATCCTGGCCGAAATGGGTATCAACACTGAAACCTGTATATAAAGCTAAAGCTAGTATAGCTAGAAAAGGTAATGAATAATCAGTTTATAAAATTATTGTAGGCATTTAAATGGAAAAATAATTGACCAGACCAATAATTGACAAAATGATCATTATTAATCACAAAAGTGTGGTCTAAAGCAGATATGTTGAATACTTGAAGCTTATTTGAAATAAAATTTAATGGGCCAGTTCTGCCGTAAAATATAGTCCAATGTTATGGCAAGGCTATGTTACCTTCCAGTTTTCATACAAAATGCTACTAAATACTGTCAAAATGCCATATATTTGCTGTGCGATCAGGCGTTTTGCACATACAATGCAACTTCACTCATATGTTATCAAGCCTTATTTCAAAGATGCAGTTATGATAACATCGGTTTTTTGCATTTGTGCGTTTTCTAGATTAGGTTTTTTATCTAAGAAGCCTGACTGCATAGCAACCACATAGGTTTGGACAATTTTTAGTACCACTTTATATGAAAACTGCTACATGACGTAGCCTTGCCATACCATTGGTCTATTTTACGATAGAATCGGCCCTTAATTTTATTGTTTGAAACATTTATCTAAGGCATAGATATTTATATTAATCTATTTGAAGGTTTCCATTATCATTTATCTATTTGAAATTTATATAATTTATATCAGAACATGTTATATGATTTGTATTATAAATGATGTTGGCAGAATGTTGTCTATGATCTAGGCGGGTATATAATGTTTTCGGTTTTAGTGAAACATAAAATGAAATTAGATGGCATTACTATAAATACGTATAATAAAATATTTAACAGAAGTTTTAAAAATATTAGAATTGGAAATTCTTTTTATAATAAAACATCAATTTAGCACAGTTTTTGCTATTGTCATGATTTGGCTTATATCCAGTATAACAATCAAATTGAAATAATGTTACAAAATTACTATCTATTTATCTGAATATCGTTTATAAACGACATGCTTTCTCGCTTAAGACGCTTTTATCTTTGGAAAATTATTTCAACGAGCTTTTATAATGTATATATATATATATATATATATATATATATATATATATATATATATATATATATATGTTAGGGTGGTCCTTAATATGGATATTTTCGAATTTTCTTGTTCCCAAGGGCTCAAATGTTTCCAAATTGATAAAAAAGAATTGTCTGAAAGTTTTAGCTCTTAATATTAACTTTTAGATAGAGCGCAATTCAATCAAAGTTTTGTATGGAAATCGCATGAAATAATTTTCAAAAATTTTGCAGAGCGTCGAATTTTCAATAAAAAATGACACAAATTTTAACTTTTAATTCATTTGTCGCTGAGTTATACCTAAAAAGTTGTTTTCTATTTTTCAAAAAAATGTCCATGCTATTTCCATACAAATTTTGATTGAATTGCGCACTATCTAAAAGTTAATATTAAGAGCTAAAACTTTCAGAGAATTGTTTTTTATCAAATTGAAACCGTTTTAGCCATTGGGAGCAAAGATATTCGAAAATATCCATATTAAGGACCACCCTAATATATATATATATATATATATATATATAATTTAACCAAGAGTATGTGTGTGTAATTTTTTTTGTGTATTTATGAACTGGTCATTTCATACTCGCAAAAAGTTGCCGGTCTAAAAATCATGTTTTGTTAATAACTATGGAACTTACAAAGTACAAGTAACAAAAATATAATTTCATTGTTCTTTGTTTTCTCAGCGTGCTATATAATTCATTATTAAATGGAAACCGGATTAAATTAAAATATATCGAAAAAAATTAAGTAGTTAATTCAAACAGAAAAGCAGGTTAAAATTCATGTATATAATTATATACAAGTACATTAAATTATTATTAAAATTGATTAAACCAATTAAAACTAGTGTGGCGCATGGCATTGTGCCTTAAGGCAAATTGCTGGAACTTCGCGTACCAAAAATTATTGTTTTTTTAAAAGATTTACATTTTTGAAAAAAAATTACTCTGAAAAAAATAGATTTTTGAGAAACTATAAATTTTTGACAAAAATTTATTTTTTTTGAAAAAAAGACTTTCTGAAGAAAAATTTATTTTGAAATATTTTGGAAATTCTGAACTTTTTTTCAAAGCAATCGTACTGCTTTAACTGCATATAGACGAAATATCGAAGCGCGTAAGCGTCGCGTCGCCGTCCAAAGGATAAACATTGGTACGGGACCCATAGGAATGTAAACAAAATTTATACTTATTGTTAAAATCTTTATAAAGTATCTAATAATTTGATGTGCATATGTCTAATGATCATTTTTGACCGCCAAATGGCATTTTTTTACTTTTTTACTAGATCTCCGAAACCGCTAGACCTGCCTTCATGAAAATTTGATCACACACATTATTTTTTCCCAAGGTATGCTAAAATGTTCAGAAACCTCCAAAACGTGATGATATGCAAAAAAATTCAATTTCGATTTTTGGACGATTACAATAACTAACCCTACGGGAAGTTAATAAAGGCGGAATTATTAATCTGTTCATTACTTTCTATTTAAATATTGATTGTAGTCTATTTCGTACGTGAGTGTATATGCATATATTTTTTTGTTTTTTACTGCGGAGGCCATATAAGCTGATCTTAGTCAGAAAAGGCTAATAATTGAGGATTGATGTCGTAAAACAATCTAGTAAGATTAAATATACGGACTGCAGTTCTTGTTATCGTGTCCAACAGCAATTAAAATATTACAACAGCGCAACATTCAGAACATTTACATATAACACTAGAGTCACTTTCTCCTCCATATATACTCACTATGCATGAAATACCTTTTCGTGATGCTACGAGTTGATTTCAGGTTTTTCTTCTTCATCACAAAATAGCTATTCAAATTGATAAAATATTTTCGTGGGAACATTCATAACAAGTTCATTTATGCAAAACTTTAAGATTCAATTACGGATTCTGTTCAGTTCTGGACTGAACTGATGGCTGATAGAGTTTGATGCAAATGAAGAATTATTGAACACTTGCACATGCCAAAATCATATTTTTTTTATTA